TCTTAATTTAGGACTAGGTAAATCAAAAGCCAAGGAATAATTGAACTTTTGTAAATTATGCAAAAACAAACAAAATATTTAGTACCATTGTCATTAAACACACACAAAAAAAAAAGAACAAAATAGATACACTTCTGTGAGGAAGGATAAACGCAAAAGTAAAAGAAAATTTTGTAAGTTTTGATGGTGTTAGGTAGGATGTCATTTCTGTAATTAATTGACCACACAAGAATGTATTTGTCCAAAATTAAAGAAAACAGGGATAAAATGGTACATTAACAATGCTGTGCAGATTTCAGTTATCATAGGGATAAGTCGAGATTGATTTATCTTGGAAACAGCCCATTAACAAATGTGCCCTTGTTACATAATAGTAGTACTTGTATCCAATAATATTTATGAATATATATAAAATGTACAATATATATATATATATGGATTTCAAAAACCGATTATTAAATTAATAGTTTTGAGTTCATCAACACTACTGTACTAGGATTGATGAAAAAAATGTATTAATTCAAGGGGATATTGATTAGGAAAGTTAAAGTTGGGTGAATAATTAGGGAGAGAGAGAGTTAGAGTCCTAAAATAGGTGGGAGTCCGTTTTCTCGTGGGTTACCTTGCCTCCTATACATATATATATATATCCTCCCCTACCTACGTACAGCTCTTGTATTCGCTATAGCTCTCTCATATCAACATACAGAAAGTAGTGATTCATGGAAGAAAAAAAAGGGTTGACGCCTGTGGAACATCTTGGTAAAGGAAAGGCAAGTCTTTGGTTGTTGCTGGGCAATTTGTCGACTGCGGCTTTGATGTCCTTGGGCCAAACCATCTACGGGAAGCTCAAGATACCTTCCAAGTATGATACGCTCATGATCGTGTTGAGCGTCATCTTTGTGAATTGTGATGTCTTTGTCCTATTAACCATAGGTTTGAGACGTAAGTTAACCAAACCCTTGAAGATGAGTTGTGGCAAGAAGCTGTTGGTTGATTTGTGGTTGGTTCTCGTGGCTTCCGGGATCGGTTATTTCACAAGAGGGGACGAACTGTACTTCTCTTTGTTCCAAGGCTGTGGTGTGCCTCTCCATTTGATGAAGACGATCAATTACTGGGGAGGTTTCGAAAATTTCGGGATTCTCGATGGCTTGCAGGCCGCGTCGATCAACGTGGCCGTGTCGTTGTCGTGCAGGCACCCAAAGTGGGCTCCGCTTCTGGTGACTCTCGTCTCTCTTGCTCTTCGTTTCGGGAAAAAGTTCTCCCAAACGCCACCTCCTCCTCCTCCTCCGAGCAGTGTCGTCGAATTGTGTTGACTGGGTTGAGTTTATGAATTAGTATACACCATTCACTTCTTCTTCCTCCAAGGTTTTCTTTTAGGGTTCGTCTGATTTTGGAACAAGTACCATAGGAGATGACAGAGAAGCAAGAAAAGAGAGAATTGTTTTTGTTTTTTCCAGTCTATGTTTTGTTATTTTATCCATCAACAACTCTTCAGTACACCTCGCCTTTTTATTTCCAAACTTAGTGGACAAAGTGAAAATTCTGATATGTTGTTCTAATGCTGTAGCCTACACGATTCAACCAAA